AGAGGAGGGCTTAAGTACTTAACGGGGCTTAGAAATAAAACTGGGACGAACTTTTTAGCAGGGCCTAGTGCGATAGGACATAGGGTGATGACTTTTAACTTAAAGAGGGTAGATTTTGCCTGGATATAAGGAAGAAATTTTATAACAGTGAAGCAGGTGAAACACCAGAACAAGTTGCCCAGGGATGTGGTAGTTTCCCTGTCTCTGGTGACGTTCAAGGTCAGGTTGGACAGGGCTCTGAATAACCTGATCTAGTTGAAGATGTCCCTGCTCATTGCCAGGGGTTTGGACTAGATGATGCTTAAACATCCCTTCCAACCCAGGCTATATTATGATTGTGTGTCACAGGACTCTAGGGGGTACAGTGGAAGGGCATAAAAAGGTATTCTTCTTGATCATGCCAGTCAGGTCGGACTGGATGCAGGACAGCCCCTGGTTGTGCAGCTGATGTTGCAGGGGAGGCACTGGGTTTTATATACCTTCTTGGTACATGGACAAGATAACAGGCAGTGAATAGAAGTTGCAGCAAGGGAAATTCTGACTAGATATTTTCACACATGTGAAAGAAAAATGTATTATGAGGTTTCTCAAACATTGGGACAGGTTGCATCCCATCATGGGAGTGATTCATAACTCATCAAGGCCATGACAAAGTTAGCCCAGCTTTGAAGTGGGTGGCTTGGGGTGGACCAGAGGTCCCTTCCAGCCTAAATTATGCAATGATTCAGAGTCTTTATGACTCTTAAATTTCAAATAATTTTATCTGCAAAGTGTAATGGAGGCTCATGGGTTGTGAATTCCTTATGTCCAGTCAGTGACCTCTGCATCTGAGGCTGCTGTTTTTTAAGAGAGCTTGATCTTGTTTGTGAAAACCTGACAAATTCCAGCTTGCACTGCTGTAACTAAGACTGCCTTCTTACAGGTTCACACCACTGTTAGCACTTTGGATTAATTATATAACTATTAGCCTAATAGAAGCAGCCAGAGCAGGTAATTGAAGACATCTTGAAATAAATTAGATAAAGACATTTTCTAAAGCACAAAGCAGCTTTTTGCTTTAAAGCTCAGAGGAAAACCATTTTTAAAATCCAACTGTAAAATCCTCCAAATACAATGAAATTTCCTGTGCATTTTTATTGACCGAACTGTATTTTAGGAAAGGTTAGAAGAAAACATTGTGGCAAATCCTGTTGCTGTGAAACCTACATTCTTTATTTCTTAGCACTTAATGCCTGAGGTATTTTCAGGAGAAATCATTGACTCATGTCACTGAAAATCCATGCTGTAGAACTTCAGTTATGTGTCACAGAGTTGGTGCCTTCGCACATTTTTCTAATACCAAAGTTCTGTTAAAAATGGAAATATGTTTTAATTTTATCGATTCTTATAATAATGTTTCTGGTTGTCATAGTTGGTAAAAAAATAAATAAATTCTTTTTGGTTTTTACAAGAGGCATAGGTCTGCAGATCCTCATTTAATAAAAGCTGGAAATACGCAGAAAGCCATATATCAGGTGTGCTTCAAAAACATCAAATCATGACTGGATTGCAGGAGATGTAGGAGTTGCTGCCAATTTCAGTAGAATGCTTTTCTTAGCCACCATTACTGTAGTTTAATTTTCAATTTCTCCAGATTCTTTTAGATATTTTAAGATCCACGATAAAGTCAAATACTAATTATATTCTTAGTTCTCTTCCTGTTTGTTTTAACCACAACCAAAGAGAATATTTTACAGCTGGTAATTCAGCTAAGTTGTGTGTATCTGAATATCAAGGTCAGTTTATGCCTTGCTTTTCTGTGATGTTCTCTCTTCTCTTTTTTGTGGACATCAGAAATAATCAGTAATGGCCTGAGATTTAGTACTGTGATTGCTTGTGGTACAGCATCACAGATTCACTGGGTTTTATTTTGCAGTTGCTGGCTTTAATAGTTAAGGGGAATATTATCGTGATGAGGTTTAAAGGCTTCAAAATCCTCATTTGTCTCATATCCAGAAACATAACCAGCTTCTTAAAAATATTACTGCTGATAGAACTTATAGTTCTCTGTTATAATACTTTTGGCCCTTGAGTCTAATTGATCAAGTCTGAAATGCATGGGTTTAATTTGGTGAGCCAGACTGATATGAAATACATAATTAGCCACTTTGTTGAAGTGTGCATATTACAGTACAGTGGCTAATTTTCTGGTCAGTGAATCACAACCTTACATCTCTTTTTCATATCTAAATACTTCAGATTATGATAGTTCTTGTATTTAAAGTTATTCTAGGTGTAAAGATCTAATTCATGCTTAGCATTTTAATAACTGCCTCTGCTTTACGGTTTTCTAAGAGAAAAACAGTCGTCTCTATAAACTTACAACCTATGGCTTATTTTAGTTACGAGTTAAACATGATTATATGCAGCATGGTATTCTTAAGGTCATGGAATGTAACATGACTTTAGGTTTAGTTTAGTTTGTAAAAGCTGTAATTGTTGTCAATGTAGTGTTCCATTTCACAACTCTACAATTTTTTGCCTAGAACTGACATCAGTCATAGATTGAATGCTTCTAAGTATTTACTTTCACTTTGGAAATGTCTCACTTTAAAGATGTAAACTCGGAAAATGAAACATTCCTTGTGTATTTCTCTTCTGGAAACATTTGCTTTAAATTTTGACATTGCTTTGAGGCTTTTATTCATCTATCATCTAACAGCTTCAGGTATCGTGAGGAACTTCACTTTGACATATGATTCAGGCCTTGAAAATCACATCATGATAGCCTGTGAGTGGTTTGGCATGAGAATAAAATGTCAGTTAATAAGCTTTAACATTTTTTTGTCCTACCTAATCTTGTTTGTCTGTATGAAAACATTATTGCATTGCAGTCTAATGTGTCAAAACTACTCCTAAATAGTCAGGAGTTACCAGATTTCAAATGCATTACATATTGGCTGTTCTAAGTTTTCGGCACACAAAAATGATCGTATGAGGTATTTCAAGTCTCTTATTTTCCAAGGAAGGTGAATTATTAGGCAGTGGGCAAGAGGGAATATGATATTTGCATCACTTTGTGTGGTTCAATAATATACCACATTGGTGATCTCCCTCATGTGTTTACAAATGTGATTCTCTTTCTACTGTGCATAAATAGTACATGTATAAATAATACACTCATGCATAATGTTGCTTAAAGTGTTCGTTTAAAATAGAAGTTTAATTAGAGGTTATTTTTTTCTATATTTTCTTCTCATTTGTTTTTACATTAGAGGAGACAAATACGTAGCAAATATGGGCTGAATCCTTTTTTTACTTCATGTGGTAATATCAAAAGTTCATTGCTCCTCCCAGCTGAGACTGAAGACATGGCTCATTTAATCTTTGTAATACTTGGCTCTAAAATTAAAATTCAGAGGAAACAGGATCCGACTATGAGTCAGTATGCAGAACAGTGAAGGATAGGGGCCAGGAAGAAACATTCTTTTTCTTTCAGCCCAAGGTCTTTATCATTACTGAGAACCAATGTCATATTGCATAATAGCAGGATGTGAGTGCCAGACCATGATCTGTTTTGATCAGGATTAAAATGCTGATGTTACTTATTTCCTTAATTTAGTTGAATTTTCTGCTGTATTTACTATAAATACTTTTAAACTAAGAGACTTTCTTGCAAATATTTTCAGAGCACCTCGTATCATTATATCAAATGGAGTCACTCATTGTCACCTTTCTCATCCTTTTGGAAGTAATTATTGACTTGGATATTTTGATGATGTTGAAATAATCTCCAAATTGTATCCTGTAGAGTCTGACAAATTGTTTGGCATCGGAAATGGACTCGGGGTCATCCACTCATGGAAACTGGCTTACACATGAATGTCAAATCCCAAATGACTTTAACAGTGATAAGAAGTACTAATGAAAATTGTTCTCTTACATGGGATATAATGCACATTTCTACCTTTCATTCCAATAAAAAATTAAATTCACAATTTGAACCAAATGTTGTGGAAACAAATAATCTACCATATGTAGTATCTCATTGTCATCATTTCTTTTCAGCTCTGCATAATACTTTTTTCACTGGTAATTACCTAATTGTCTTCTTAGCCTGCTAAGAAAATATTCCTTCAGTTTGACATCTTTAAATTGTGCTTTTGTTCAGTAGTTTACAGTGTGTTGGTACTGTATAATGGGTGTTTATCATTCATACTATAGATAGCAAAATATCTAATTATGGTTATGCCACTGTGCTGAAAAGAAGTGTTACAATCCAAGCCAAGTCTGAATTGCAGTTGCTGAAAGCAAGATTAGGAAGCAGTCTTGTACATCTCAACCAAGGAAGAAGCACTTCCCTTGCCTTTTGTTAAGCCAAAAAAATGTGCTCGCAGTGTTCAGCAATAGCTAACAGTGAAGAAAAACGCTCCTTAGCAACAGACGTTCGTGAAATAAAAGAAAGATTTAAATGCAGCTTAAAATTAGGGAAATAGTGTCTGTCAGATTTAAAAATGTAGAAACAGATTCTCTGTTATAGACAGGAGGAAGGCAAATATAAAAGCTCAGAAATATCTTCTAAGTCAAGATGGAGAAAGAAATGCACTCTGGTATGTATTCCTTTCACTACAAGCTGCCAGACTTGTGTCCATGCTGTTACTGTGCATCTGGTCTTCTAGGAAGTGCATTGCTCTAAAGGGAATGGAATTGATGATACATTTTTTAAAAACGACCCTGCTCTAGGTCTGTGTCTGTAAAGTTCAGAGAATAATATTTATTGAAATTTGAAGTGAAGGTTTTAATAGTGACTTCTTTTTTCACCCTCCTGTAAAAATACTTTCATGGCCTGATCCCTCCCTCTTCATCTTGCACGTAGTGCCTTTCTGGCGAATGTCATCCACAGAACACATTTAAAACAATCATAGCCATGTATCTTTGAAGGAAAAGGCTACCCTCTATACAAGACACAGCTAAACATCTAAACAACAGGAGTAATATTTTTTTACTACTACTTTGTATAGGTTTGTAATTGGACGAGAAAAACCAGGACAAGTGAGTGAGGTTGCGCAGCTGATTAGCCAAACTCTAGAACAAGAACGCCGCCAGAGAGAGCTGCTGGAGCAGCATTATGCACAGTATGATGCAGATGATGATGAGGTAACAGACTGTCTTAACACTACACTAGTTCTTGGTTTTTAATGTTCTGTTTTCTGTTCCTAATTCCTTCTTTTTAATTGTCACTCAGAGGTCGGCTTCTGTCCTTCTCCATTACCTTTGCTGCTGATTTTTACAGATTTTGATGATGAATCTTATTTGAAGAACAAAGTTACTGAGAAGTTTTCCACATGAACTTAAAGTACTTGTTTTGTTACAGAAGAGCAAATATCAAATTGGTCAGTGCTGCTGTAATCGTTGCTCTTCCTCTGAAGGCATGTGCTTTTCTGAAATAAGGGAATAAAGTTGGATTCTGAAACAGTAGCTTTTGTGAAAGTTGGTAAAAGTCACCTTCTAACTTCTAAGGGGTTCAAGAAGTTTTAGACTTTTTTTGGGTTTTTTTTTTCCTCTGGAAGAATTTATGTTCTTCTTAATTCAGAACATTAAGAAATATTCTAAAAACTCCAGGTAAGACCCGTCCTTCCACGCACTTGCTTTTTGTTTCTGTGTGAAGAGGTGCTCAACAGTATAGAGAGTTGATCTACCGTGTGTGAAGTGTATGTTGATATTCACAATTAGTGTCTGATGTCCCAATACAAGGGTTTTGAAACTATCAACTTTATACAGTAAATATTCCATACTATCTTGCTGTTCTCTTAAAATTCCTGATATGCCTAAATACCAAGATACTTGAAAAGATTCATGAGAGAGCTTTTTCAGAGACTACTGCCTGTGTTACTCGCTCAATTAGCTGTTGGGTTAAGGTAAAAGGCAGGTGTAACAAACCCCTTCCACGTAGACCAAGCATACTACCTTCATTTCACATTATCTTGCATAATTTTATTTGAAATGCCAGACTCCATGTATTGGCATGCTTTTGTCCTGGGGCAGACTGTGTGTGGTGTTTTTTTTTTATGGAAGGAGGCAACTGAAAAGGGGAGACAATAGAGAATGAATGCTATGCATTTATTTCAGTTTCGTTTTCCTTTGGGTACTGAAACAAGGCTTCTAAACAGTGATATAAGAAAAAAATACTTCGAGGTAAAATCAGGAAACACTTGGATTTTGAAATACACTGTTGAACTAGCAATAGGTGTCCCAGAAGACTAAGTAAAAGTCCTATCTAGCCCCAGTGATGCTTTCACTTATTTTAATGTTTAGAATGAATTCTGTTATAGGTGCATATTTATGCATATAAATAAAATTGTACTTGTCAGTATTAGGGATGCATATGTATGTGTGCCTGTGCGAGACCATGAAGGCCAGAAAATCCATATCCTCTCTGTTCCTTCCTTAAACTATAGAAGCATACAAGTCTTCCAGATTGTGTTTAGTCTAGAATTAAAATTCAAGATCTTAACTAATTTCTCAAAGTAACACTGCCGTCTCCTCAAAACCAAAAAGAAGAGACAACCCCCTCTAGCCTTTGGAACAAGAGAGTTCTCATAATTCACCACAGATTTTATTGGGAACATGCAGCAATCCTGATTTATTTCTTTTTCTTTTTCTCACCTGCCATTCAAGTAAATTTATATAACTTGCACTATTCCCAGGCAATTGACATAATGGAAGCTCTGATCTAATGCACATTAGGTGCAGTTCAAAGCCATTTTTGGTCACCACAAGCACTTCTACTCCATTTGCTGTCAAATAGGAGCATTACTACTTTGAGCTCACCTTGCTCTGTGAGGGCAAATGTGGCTGGGTTTGTGTTGCTGTATGCCAGACACCACTGCCAGCCCTGCGTTCTTTGGCTCTGGTAAGCAGGGCATCTTTTGGGCAAGAAGATCAGAGTTTACACTGTCTGAATGAATATCCACAGATGTACAAAACCCCCTACCCTTTCAAGTCCATTTCCTCAAGGTGAAAGTGATTCTGACTGCATGAAATTCAGGAATATTTGGATTGCTGAGTGGCACAGAATTATACAGGAGTTGCTTAGTCTCAGAGCTATCAAACTGTCCTATTCATTTGTAGACAGTTCTTAAAATATGGTAACATGGATCTCCAGCTACAAAGCTGCATAAATAAACAAGAAAATTATCTTTATTCAACCCTCCATTGAGGCTGTCAAGTTCTGACCCTCAGAGATTTTACCACAAAGACAGCAATAACATATCAGGTTTCTGGAGCAGGATGTCAGTGATCAGTGTTTGTGTCCTGCAGTCACTGCACCTGACTGTGTTTGGTAGAGCTGGTCAAATCACAGGAGGAGAACATGTGCCAGGATGTGCAAGTCCTGGTGCTTTATTTTGCTGTGCTACCAGCTGGCTGGATTTCCTCTGTTTTGAAACTTAAGACAATCTTCATCATAGCCCAAGCAGCATCTAGCTATTTGAGAAGGATCTGAGTTCTTTAAAATAGCAGCGTTATTGAGACAGTTTCGACTTCTACCAGCCAGTGTGCACTGGACTTGAGTCAGATGCTAAATTAGAGAGATTTGTTAGCCTGCTGTAACTTCTCATTCCATTGCCTTGCAGGAATGTTACATGACAGTTATTTGTTGTGGAAGATTCATACTGCTACAGATAATGTTTCCAAGAAAGATACATCATTTACTACATAAGTGATCCTGCAAGAAACATCATTTACTATATAAATGCCCTGCATCCTTGCACTTCAGAATCTGCTGTTACCATGGGCTGCAGGTTTTCACAGGGTTGCAGGATGCTGCCGAATGCTCCTTCATTTAAATCTTTGCAAGGAAACAAAAGAACCTAGTGCAGAACTGACAAACACTGAAAGAAAAGGGATGCCTGCGAGGCGCAAAGACAAGCAGATAAACGTGCAATAGCTCACAATGTGTTCTTAAGCTCCCATGAGACACACAGGGCCAGTAGTATCAGTTATTTCTCAAGTACTACTTACGATAGGCAGCCTTGGCGTTTCCAGGTGAGCCTGTGCTAACTACAGTAAAGCTGGAGAGTGTGTTGTTTCAGGTGCTGCCCCTGGATAGCCTGCTGCAGAGTTTACTCATCACCAGTTCATCTAGCTTCCAAAAATCCCACATTTTTTAAATTTATTGTGTCCTGTCAGAAAACAAACTCAAAGGCTTTGAAGTAGGCACTATCTTTTTATTTCCTACTTAGTGTATTAAGTATGACCTGAATCTGTATCCTTGACAGAAACCTTTGTGTTAACACTGTGTTCTGGGCACATTTTAGTCAAATTCTGCCATTCCTTGGAATTTTGTTTTGAACATGGTATTTATCTTCTTCGTGTTCTACAGTGAATGGAAGAAGCCACATAAAGCAGATGACCTGTTCCCCTGCAGTCTGCACACTGTGATGCAGGATGTGAAATTAGTAATTTATTGCAGAATTCTGTTCACTCTGTGGCCACAGACAAGCAGTTTTGTGCAAGTGACATTTTAATGTATTTTAATATTACTAATAGTAATTAGATTATTTTATAATTTTTCATTGTTATTTATCAGGATATTCTGAGACCAAACCAACATTAGAACCATTCAAGAAAATCTTGACACACACGAAAAGAAAAATGTTGCAATTTGTTTGAATGTCTAACCCCAAAGAATACATTTGTTAAACAAAATCTTTCAGAGAGTACTTTTCCAACATCATTAATGTGAAGAGCTCTTGTAAAGTGATGATTGATACTGTACCATTCTATGAAGTAAAAGCCACGAACAAATTAAATGAAGAGGCAGGCTTGAGTTATTTTTGCAGTTCTTGCAGTGGTGTTCCCTGATTTTGGGAGAGTTACAGCACAAACAAAAGATTTAGCTTGATGCAGTCTTTGTTAATGGTGATTTGGGGAAGGCCTGTCTGCATTACTCTGGCTGGTGCTGCTGCTCCTTCTTTCTGCTTGGGAGTGTTAGGCCCTTTTCAAGAATTTACAAGGCAGCTAAACAGTGTGAGTTGCACATTTTGTCTTTTAAAGTGGGAAGTTGCAGTTCATGCTTATAAAGATAATTTCATGTTATTAGCTGTGATAGCATATAGGAAAATTGAATGGCTAATACCAGAAGTTATTGCTGTGGGTTGGATGAGCTAAAGCCCTAGGTGCTACTGAAAGGAGAAATAGATCTTTAGCATGGATGAATTTTGTTCACCAATACAGACTGAAGAGTCCGAGATTTTCCTTCAAGAGCATGTAAGTTTTCATTGACTTTCGAGTAAAAAAAGTGTTATTGTTGTTGTCAGCTAAGAAAGCAAAATGTATTGCAAGGAACCTCAGGCAACTACAATAACAACTTACCTCACAAGGCTTTGTTATTTTGAAATAAAATAACTTTTGTCTGTGCCTTGCTGCTCCTTGTAAAATACTGACCTTCCCCTTCTAAGCTTACTGGCTCAGGGTCTGAACAACCTCCTGGTATTTTCTGGTGAAACAAAAGTCAGCAGAGAATTTTTTCAGGGAAAGCGTGTTTCATGTAGTTTATGATATATATATTTCCTTAAAGCACAAACTGGTTCTTTTGAACCTGTAATTTGTATTTCATGTGATTGTAAGATCAGATCGCTTTCTTTTGAAGATGAGAGCAAAAGTCCCATTTATTTCTGTGTTCTGTAATGTGTTTATGTCATCCTGCTGTCTTGTTTACCTGAGCAAACTGCGGTGCTTTGCTTTGATGACTACTTTTTGCATTAATTGAAGCAAAAATGACTGTGCCCACAGACACTCATTACATACAATTTGAAGCAAGATTTTCCTTTGTGTTCATTTTTGGCTGCCTGATGACCATCTTCAAACAGTTTGGCTCTGGAGGCCAGGAGAATATTGCCTGCTCTTGAATTCTTTTCCCTTGTATAACCTATTCCTTCATATATGTTTGGTTTTCTTTTTGTATGCTATACTTCTCTTTAGTTTAAGTCTGTGAAGGAATCAATTTTAACTAAACTCATCTGTTTTATTCTTTTACCAAAACTGGAATATCTAATTAAAATTTTGCATTACATTAATATGTTCCTTTAAAATGCACATGTACCTGATCTGTTTTTTTACGTAAACTGGGCATAAGTTTGTTAGTTAATGACCCTATTTCTGCCTCCTCTCTGCATGCTTCAGAGATTTCCTTGCCACTGCTGATGGACCTGCCAAGATGTTTTTTTCATGTAGAAATGATAGTTGTGTACCACCTAAATAGTTTTTTTCAGACAAATGACTGCAAAATTGGCAGTACATGGATTGGGTTAGTATTTTGTCCCCACAATAATTCATTTCATTGAAATCTCACTGGTATTTTTGAGTTAGTTGTTCCGCTTCTCATCGCCCTGATGGTGTGTGGAGGCAGTGATACGTGCTCCTGGAAAAAGCCAGGAGAGTTAGCAGCCTAATTTTTCATTTAGACAGTAACTGCACATAGCCATGGGGAATAAAATAGGAAGAGAAGTTACTACAGGTGTGCCATGATAGAAGAAATTTGTGTGTGAGAGATCTACACATACAGAACGATCAATTTAATTTCAGGTGTTGTTTTGTTTAGCTGTAGTGCTAACATGCCTGAAAACTCCAGTGAGATGGATTGTATGTACTTAGCTGCTGTTTTAAACAAGGAAAAAAGAAGCAAAACCAGCTGTTAACTCATTTTTTTTGCTGAAGACTACTCAGATTCTTAGTCTTAGTAGACGTAAAATGTGTAAAATAAATTGTAACTGTATATTTCATTGGAGAATATGTAACTATTTATAGAGATAGTTCTTCTAAGGAGTGGCTTTCATTAACAGTGACGTTTTAAAGTATGCATGGGTCGTGCACATTGGTGACTTACCTTCTTTATGATAGTTCTTTTGATAGTTCTTTTTTGATAGGTTTTTTTATAGTTTTTTTTTATAGTTGTAACATCAGAAGATTTTACTAAATCATTCTATGCTTTCTGTGTGGTTTGGCTTTCTTTGCTTTTTAAAACTTTAGTGAGGAGATATAGATTTTTCATGATCTCTAAAGGTCCCTTCCAACCCAAACTGTTCTATGATTCTATATGCTATTCGTCCAAGAAAAGGTGATGTCTTATTGCAAGTATACCACCCTACTGGATGCATACATAGACCTTTTCTGTCTGTGTGTACTTGTGCACCTAGACTTAACATGCTTCCATGCACTGCTTTTAGTTGAGAGAGATTCACATAAGCCTAAACAACAGCTGGAAAACTAAATGAAGGTAGGAAGTTGAGATTCAAACTGTTGTTCAGATATTTGAGTTCTTAAATGTTGTTTTGAAAAGTTCTTTTGGCAAAAAATGACACTGATTGATAGATAATCCTAGTGCTATTGGGAATATACTTCTGGCAACAATGTTATGTGTCATCTTTGAAACTGAAACAAAAACTTGAGTAGTTCTGCCAAAATTTTGGTGTTATTACTGTATAAACATGAGAAGGACTGCACCCCTTCCCCCACCCTTCCTTTTCCATGTATTTATCAAGCCCCAAGCTTTATAAATCCAGATGTGGCCCTGAGGGAAGTGTTTGCTTTATACTATTTTTGCACAGTCATTTGCACAGCCAGCAGGCTATCTGTGATCCATACACAATGTACTCTGGCTTCCAGAAGGAGCCCTGCTAAAGCAAAGTGGTATCCAGCCATCTTAGGCATGGGCAGAGATGAGCACAGGTGTCTGTGCAAATGATTGTCTAGCTAACTTGGGGTTTAATATTGCAAGCTTTTTCTTTTCAATATTATTGTTTCATTTTGTTTAATCTTGAGATCCTGATTATAGCTTACAATTTTTTTAAATCCTGTTTTGTCAACAAATTGTTCACATCTCATAGTTTAGCAGCCCAAGAAACACCCACATTTTCTGTTTAAAACCAGCTAGAAGCAGCTCCTTATTCAGGGTGAAAATGCAATAAAAACTGACTTTAGTTTCTGAACTTATCTTTGACACTCAGTTTCTTTTTCCTGCTGTTGTCTTTCTGTGTGAATGTGACTCTTCTATCATTGATTTGTTTATAAAGAACAAACCAATTGATTTTCAAATTTAACATGGAGTATCACTGGAGAATTACTTCCTCCAGATGGCTTACAAAAGACTAATCAAGATCCTGTCGGTGTTACTGTGCTTTTATTTCTGTTTGGAAAAGATTCATTGCTAAATTTGAGATAAATTTGGAGAGGTCTTCCTATGGAAAAGAGGCTTCACTTGTAAAAGGATGAAAACCATTGAAACAGAGAGCCAGTAATGCTGAAGCACTTAATTCTTGGTGCTTAAGACACTGTCTTCTCTCTCTTAATGTTCTGAAATACTACTGTGGAGTTGTATTTTGTCTGGTAGAATTCATAAGCACTGGCATTATAGCTGGAGAAAAAGATAACCTTTTTTGTATGCAGTGTGCTGTGTTTGCACAGTAGCTTAATTACTCTTTGAACAGTCTCTGCCTATAAGAGGGTAACTGGAATTTCTTAAATGCTATAAAATTAAGACAGGGGAATATGCTACAGATGAAGAAGATGACGACATGGGACCTGTCCTTCCAGGAGGTGACATGGCTATTGAAGTGTTCGATCTCCCTGAAAATGATGACATGTTCTCCCCAAGTGATGTGGACACCAGCAAGCTTGCTCACAAATTCAAAGAGGTAAGTTACAGATCAGAAAATATTCCTGAAATATCTCACTTTGATTAGATTTCTAGTTACCTCATTGCTCAGTGCTTGTCTTTTCTCTTGAAAAGAAGAGTTGATTTCTAGCTGTTTGTGTGACTTCAAAAGTTCTGCTTAAAAGAAGTGGAACTATCAGATTTTTTTTAGCATCAGATTTCAAATGACTTGTGTTGATAGAGGGTAATTTATAATTGAAGTTTTCAGGACAGAAGTTACTCAGCCTTCAGCATTTAGTTTGAATTTTGTGACCAGGAAGACAAAATGCAAGTTAATTCATTGCTTGCAGATTGCTGCTTTTTGGTTTTTTGGTTGGTTTTTTTTTTTTTTTTTTTGTAAAATTCCAGTCAAAAGTGATCAGGAAAACTAAAGAGCAAATGCTAAATTTCAGTGAAAAGGGACATGTGGAACTCATCCTGTACCATTACGCAGTGACTCGTCAGTGTACAGCAATGTCATATGTTTGGCCATGTGTTTAGAAAGATGCTGTATTGGGGAAGCTGGCGTATTTCAAGCTGGTGGTTTACTAACTTCTGTGCTTACAGAGTTTGTATAGCATCCACTGGTACTGACTGGAGCTTGATTCAGTAGTGTTCATTGCAGTCATTGAATTCGTATAACTTAACATGCCAGTGTACTGAGAAATGTTTCTCTGTATTTTAGGTTGTGCTTTTGATGTGCTTTATATCTAAGCTTTTCTGAATTCTGATGCAAATAAAGACATGAAACAACTGGCTTTGTCTAAGCCCACGGTGATAGGCTGGGCGATGACAATAAACAATTTAAACACAGGAATAGGGAAAGTAGCCAGAACCTAATAGGAGATTTGAGCAGTAGAACCAGCACCCATTTTATCCTTCTTTCCCTGTCCTCTCCCCTTGGCCTTCCCTCCACTCAAACCAAATATTTTATCTTCTGTAAGTATATGTTGTTACTACTTTCTAGTGGGAGTAATGTATGAAAAAGAATGAGTCAATGAGCAACCAGTCTTTCCCTTTTCTGCAGATACCCTTTTCAGCCTTTGGATGCATACTGTTATTAATTGTTGTTTCCTGAAAGTTTTTTACTTTACTGATAATTTTCTCACTCCCGATTTCAAGTTCCAGGCTCTCGTGCAAATTAGCAGTTTACTTCATTTTCCAATTGCATCATACACGGTGATACTTTCTCAAAGTGGTGGGAAGACACTACCATTCTGATTATGCCAGTGTACCACATCTGTGCAAACTGCAGATGCAGTAATGGGCAGAACCCTCACCTTTGAATAGATTACCTTTCAGACTATGCCTGGATAGAGTTTCCGTCAGCATGGGCTGTTGCCATGCTTCAGCATGACCAAACTGATTTGAAGCTGTTTGCAGACCTGTCTGATGTAATGGCCTAAAACTGCTGGTGTAGAGGAGATCAGGTGGAGGCACTTTGGGTCCTCCAGGTCAAGTGCAAATGAGAGCCTGAGAAGAAAACATTAAATGCTCCTGCAGAAGAACGGACTCTTTTTCACTAACCCACACAGTTACTGCTGTTTAGGAATATGCCACTTTTGTTTCAGCAATTGTATTTATTGGTGCACAGCTGCATTTTGTTGGCTGCTACAGAGTGACTACATGTATTTTTCTTGGTATTTGCCCTGAATTCTTTCAACACTAGAGGACTTGTTCATGATCACGCTGCACAAGCCCACACAGTGTTTTCTGGAATTGTATTTAAAGAATAACTGTTCTTTCGTGTTCTTACTGTAGAGATTAATGAAAGTATTAAACAAGTGGGTTGGACATAATCTTTAAGCATAATAGTTTGACCTAATTAGTTGAATTCAGTCTTTGCAATGAAAAATGTTCTCACATGCTCCGAGAACACTCTTATTTGAAATACTTTGCTTTTGGAATGAAAGTCGGAAGAGAGATAAATCCTGGGTGAATTGCTGTACTTCTGCAAGTCTTGTTTTCCTGGCTGTAAAACCAGAAAAATGGGCCTGATTTTCCCTAACTGCTTTGAGAGAAAGAGCTAGAAGCTTTATTTTAGCTGTGATGATTGATGAGAGACAAGATCTGTAGGGAGAAGGGACATCTTATGTAAGAATTAGGTATTTTATTTCATATCTTAACAAAATATATGAAAAATTGATTATTATTATATGTAAAAAAATGTAATAAGTGCATTAAAGTTGTCATGCAGATTATTAGATTCCGTTGGGTACTTTTGTTGCCAGTGCACTCTGGATATTTTAACATTTCCTAGCATTACTTCCCATTCTACCTTTTGGTCTTAGGTGAATTCAGTTAATTTTCTCTAGATGTCTTATTTTTTATAAAATGTTTTATTGTTTTGAAGAAAATTAATCAGCTTTTCACATTTCCTTTGAAGAGGAAATGTGCCAAAGTGATTCAAAATGTCTTTGTTAAAATGAAGCCTTCACAGCTTCATTGACTAAAAATCATAAAAAAACAAAATAATTGCTGCCAAGAATTTGTCTGGCATTATGTAGGACATGGAATAAGGTATTTCTGCTCCCCTATTAGTAAACTTGATTGAAAATTTTTAATTATAGTGTCCAGATTTGCTTGCCAAACAGTTGTCTGTGCCTGTTGTTCAGTCTAACCAATAAATGTGTTAGTATTTCTCATCTATTCTGCAAGCATAATTAGTTCTTTAAAAAAGGAAAAGAAGAAAAAAGTAGATGACCAGCTACACATTTGTCTGTTCAGCAG